CAAATGACGAATCGTAGTTAAAACCGTATAACAAATTTTATATATGTGCATATATGTGTATGTACACACATATTTACTTATAATAAAGCAAAACCTTTAACTTACTTGTGGTGTAAAGGCAAATATACGATCTTTCAGTGAGTATAATTTGCTGGTGCTCAAAATACCCACATCGCGAGACTTACGCCCTGTTAATCCCAATTTCCGATTACGACCCAAATACGTGTACAAATGGCTAAGAACTCGAGCTGGCTGTACTTCAATTGGAGCCACCTCAGCTATTGTTTGTACATGCAAATCATGCTCTGTCAACTTGTCACGTATTTCGTTATCCTCAGCTATGATTACCACTTGCACAACAACGTCAGGTTTCTTTTGGGCACCTAGACGACGATTAAGCGGATCTAATTCTCCGACTGCTAAGAAACCCTGGAGAATAGAAAAAAAAAGTACATTAATTGATATAATAATAACAGCATCAGAGACTTATTAAATAAATATACTTAAAAATGTGAAAAGTAATGAAAATATTATATTGAAAACATATTTGGCTTCAATCCCCGAGAACTCTATTTTCGTCCTAACAATGTGAGGAGAACGTTACTACGAATTACATATGTGTTAAGAGTGTACTCATGTTAATAGTTTTAAACTTTTAGATCAACGATATCACTAAATCTGTCGGTAGTCATTTTGCCTGAATTCTTAAACATTTGAGCAATATATAGTGCGTACCTCCTGTAATAGTCGACCTAATATGAACAAAGATTGTCCCCAAAGAAATGGGCATCTGCCTACTACTTCACGCCGTTGCGAGCCGGGATGTTGGTATTCGTTTGATACCAAATTATGAGGAACTGCATAACTTTCAGGTATAAGTAATGTCCCATCGTCTGCTCGGACCATAATTCTCTAAAAAAAATATTTAAGTTTAATAACTTTGCTTTTTTTTTGCTAAAATATTATTTGATTGTCCATCCAATACCTCAAGGCGATCTGCATATTCCTTCACTGCTAATTTGTCATTTTGAAAAGCGTGGAAAAGAATAAGGTAACAATAAAACAGAGGCCACTCGCATTCGATGTTTTCAAACATTCTGAGTTCCCAACGTTCGTAGTATAAGCGAGATGGATCCTCTTTGGGTGTACGGTAGCCATCTCGTAAAAAGCGTTTGCAGCCATATTTACCTTGAAGTCGTGATAAAATGGCATCTTTCGTGTTACGTATTAATTGTGGATCATCAGCAGCAAACGCTGGAAATCCAATTACGCAAAGCAATCCCGAGTCAAGTTCTTTGCTGTTTGATTCACGTGGTAGCATAGATTGCAAAACAGCCTGACATTTATGTGCTTCATCAGCTAAAACATGTATAACACTTGCAGGACCTCCTCGGGCACCAAATAAGTCCAATTCGTTCATTGCTTCCAGAGCTGCTTTGGCCATACCAATTGAACTTGCGTTTAGTTCTGGCTCACCTGTTGAAACAAATTCAATTTAAACTATTTTTATAATTATGGTCATGTGTTATTTTTCACCGTGGTTAGTTTTGTCGCCTCGCTCCCAAATACCATAATCCGGAATACAATATGCCGACTCTATGTAGAATACCAGATTTTGAATAAATGAAACTTCATCTAAAGAAAATACAATCTGTAACCCAGATGCTGTCATTTGTGCTAAAATCAAAAGATATAAAGAAACTGCGTCGATTTGTAAATGACCCCATTCCCCATCTCCAACTACAGGCTGTCCATTTTTACTCGAATATTTCGCGTGTAATGAGTCCAATGGGTTTTGCGTCATTTTGAATCTTTCTACTTTATCTTTTTGATTCATCATTGCCATAAGCAAACCTCTCATTAATTTCACGCAACTTTGTTCCAATTCATAGCATTTAGCTCTATCTTCATCTTGATCCGCAATTTTCTTGTAGGCCATCGAAAGACCCCATACGGCCAATATACAGTAAACATTATCACGTATCCAAGCATGGGAATTAATGTTTGAGGCAGGGAATAAGCCAGTAACAGGTTCTTGGTGCGACATGATCAGGCGGTGCACTATACGCTGGTAATAGTCCAACCGGACGCCCGAATTACTGCGTGAACGCATTTTTTTGCTTTCGAAAGCAACAGCTTCYTTGTAAGAGCAAGCGAGATCAAACTATTTTAAGAGCCGTTTCTGGGGGCTCTTGCGGTTTGTCATGCAGCCCTCCCTGCAATATCCTTATGTAAGATTCGTTCTTAGCCCCTCGAATTCTTCTGTAATTCAATTACAATTAATATTCTGCTTATATGCTATCGATTTGATAACAATTATTTCTTACTAATATGCACAAATTCACTATTTTAACAAAAAYTAATCCCACAAAATAATAAAAAATATTGCCAGATGGTTACTGCTACGCTTCCGCCTTCCAAAAATGTCACGCCAATGTCAAAGTAATCACTGTGAGTATCAGCTGATGAACAAAATTTCCTCACAATGAGATATTTTTGAGTTTACCAGCAACTATATTTTTTATGAACCATTTAAAAATAAAGCCACAATCGATAAGAAAATGGAACATAAATATTTATATCAGATTTTTATCCAGGATTTCTGTGTACGACTAACTAAACCTAAGTTTTAAATGTCCTGTTCACAAYGAATTACATATTTACATTCCATGGTGGATCCTAAGCAGCCACTTAAAAAAAATTTCCAATTAGTTTCATTTCTCTCTCTCTCTCTCCCTCTCTCTCTCTGTTTCCTACTCACACAAGATTTTAGCGCAAATCTTATTTTTGGTGCATTTTAAAAATTGGCAGTGAAGGATGTCAATAGAATTTTAAATTGGTTTTAATATATTTTAATTCCGCAATCATATTTTCTTATTTTACACAAGTTTCCATTTTACGAAAATATACTAAGAGTAAAGAGTTCCTGGCGATTAGGAAAAATATTGACAGTTGTTTCGGAAATAGCAAGTGACTACTTCGAATAATATACAATCCAAATCTGCCTCAAAACACACATAAATATAGATACATTTTGGAGTTTTCTAAATAGTAAATTGCGGTTATAAGTATAGATAAAGTTATAAGTGCAGTTGGAGCGGCTTTTAATTGTGTATATAACAAAGAGTGAAAGGCAGGTCTCCAATTTGTTTGTATATATGCAGTAATAATGTCAAGAAATGTGTTGAATAGCGGTGATTGTGGAGATGGAAGTGAAGGAGGACGCGGAGACTATAAGGGCATTTACGAATTATTGGCAGAATTATGCAAAAATTTGGCAGGACCATCTGAAAATCATAGTAAGTCAACTTTACAGAATTTAATGATGTAGCAATATTAAATTCTGCAGTTCTTTGTTSAGAAAAACTTTAAATAAAAGAAAAATGTGTTTGAATAATGACGTCTAATCAAATCAAATCATAAAACTGAAAAGTTAATTTATAAATATATTTAAATTTCTATTAATATTTAATGAATTGTTTCCGTAAGTCCAARTTTATTTTTAATTATGAAATATGTTTTCTTTAACTTGTTTGGATTTGCTTTACAGGAGAAATTTTACGTCACGTAACACAGTACATATCCAACTGTCCCACTGCTTTGGGCTCAACATTGCCCTTCGACGAAACCTCAATTCTAACAAAAATCACACATCATCTTGACTCCTTTGCTGCGAAGAGTGTTACTTCGAATATATGCTCTGCTGGATCACAATTCGGTGCAGCGGGAAGTGATTGTACTAATTCTGCAGGAGAAATAAGCAGTGCTATAAACAATAGTGCGTTATTTTTAAAATTTCATGAGCAACTCAAAGCGGCAGTAAGTAAAACTTTTCAGAAACGACGAGAAAATTATTTATTTTTTTTAACATTTCATAGCTTCCTGATGAGCATCAACGTACCGCATTGCTAACTTTTCTATATTTTATGTCTGACTCCAAATACTCAACCGATAATGTGCACAATGTTGGGAATGTTAACAGTCACCGTAGTCATTTAATGACTTCGACTAATTCAGCGTTTCAATCAATCCGATCACATTTGTTGCACAAAACTTCTAATCAGCAGCAGCCTCAACATTCCATACTTCCTGTTAACAATAGAGCCAGAAATGTAAGTTATTAAAAAAAAGCTGTTTTTCAAACACACTCATTATATCAACATACTTCACAGGAAGAAAGCGTAAAACCAATGGTATCTGGTCGTGGTACCTTTAATCGTATGACACCTGAAAATGATCCAACCGGTGGAAATTGTGGTGTTATTCATGGAGTAAACTTTCCATCTTTACGTGCTGATGGTAGTAAATCACTCGACCTACAAAATAATGTAAATGACGACATAGTACAAAATATTATATACGTATTTACGGGTATTCAGGGAAAATACCTTAAAAAGGACGTAATATCAGGACGTTTTAAATTAGATTCAAAGGTGAAGTCCTTAGACGTGGTTCAAGCAGGAATGCTTCTGAGGCTTTCTGAATTGGGGTATGCTATGACTAAGCGATATCATATTCCATTACTTATATGTATATGTATATATATATTTATATCTTGCAGATACTACCATGACTTGGTTCAGTCATATACAGATAGCAAAAGCGGATTATGCCCTTTGGGTCTTATGGGACAGGGGTTTGTGTCCGCTTTAAAAAAAGAACTAACTAGATATTATGGCATGGTTGCAACACTTCAAGARCAGGTATTGTTTTATGAAGGTTATTTAAATTAGTGCTGAGATTTGTATTTTATTTGTCAGTTAAACAGGCAAAGAGATCATGAACATAATACAATTTTGAGAGGCAACAGTATTATACCAATGCGTCACGAACGACTAACTTTAATGAAAATTCTAGTATGGTCAGTTGACGCACTTAAGAGGTTGCAATGGCTAGCAACTATAGCGGAGGCATGCCGGGAAAAGAAAGGTGGTGCTCTCGCTTCAATGGTACATAGTTTTTTGAATAACGGTAACCCCACTGTAAAGTCTCTAGTTCGTGAGCTTTTGCTTGCGATTTGTGGTCCACTTTATCAAATGCTCTCACATTGGCTATTGGAAGGAGAAATTTGCGATCCACACGGTGAGTTCTTCATTGAATGCTTGTCASAAGTTGGACCTGATCGCTTGTGGCATGATAAATATAGAGTACGCATAGCTATGTTGCCAAATTTTATGTCAACTGAAATGGCACACAAAATTTTGGTAACAGGAAAGAGCATAAATTTCTTGTGTGAAATATGTGAAGATAAAAGACCAGTTAAAGGACGGGATGAATTACGTCTATGTATCGAAGAAAATGGTAAGCTTTGGAACCTACATTGATTAAATGCAATGAATGAACACAATCTTTGTATTAACAGCGGATCACATATTTTCACGAGTAGCCGATACGAAATTGCATTCAACCATCGATGCTATTTACTTGAATACTTCGAAGCGTGTCCTAGATATTGTCATGGGTCCACATAAACTTCTCGAACATCTTCAGGCAATGCGTCGTTATCTTCTACTAGGGCAAGGAGACTTTATTGGAATCCTTATGGAAAATTTGAAGTATGAATATAATGGAGTTAATTATATTAATACATATACATGTAAAATATGACCTGTTTCATAACTCATAGATGCGAGTTGGATAAACCAGCAAAGGAACTTTACTCTTACGATCTTTCATCCATAATGGATGCCGCCATACGATCAACAAATGCGCAATATGACGATCCAGAAATTCTCAATCATCTAGATGTGCGGTTGCTAACTCCCTGCGATGGCGATATTGGTTGGGATATACTATCGTTACAATATACCGTACGCGGCCCTTTAGCTACTATGCTCGAACCGTGTATGGGCATTTATCAAATCCTTTTCAAACCTCTATGGCGTATGAAACACATGGAATTCGTACTATCCTCTAAAATTTGGAAAGATCAAAAGTGCAACGCAAAGGTAAGTTATAAATAATTTGAGTATATTTATCTTACCTAATTTTGTTTATATTTTACTTGGAATACTGTTTACATACGCTTTTATGTTGTTGTTGTTAAAGTTTCCCCAATTATATTGTAGTGGTTTACTGATTATTTATGTAGACCCCTTGGTGAAATTTCTTCAAAAAATAAAAACTTAAGTAGGGTCGACGAATTTTCATTGATCGCTTATTTAATGTGTTAAATATTTATGAGATGGTAATAGCCGATGGGGTAGAGTTCGTCAAAGAGAAATAGCCGGTAATCTAATCCAAAACGAATTTATATGACATGTGATAAGTGAAGAATAAGTCAAAGCCCATGTAATTCACAATCCCACCACTAATATAGCACATACATAAGTAAAATTTCAGTATTCTTTTATTTATTTGTTTTGCATAAAATATAATCGACAGTACTAAATTGTGCTCATAAAACAATGTTTTGCCCTTTACATTGTATAAAATTGAACTTATCTCCCGAATGTTAAACTAATTTTATAACACCAATATACGAACTCCAATGGAATAAATGTTAAATAGAATGCTTGCAGTTTATTTGATATAAACCGCCATTTGAATGTCCTTACAACTTGGCCTCTGTCTTAAGCAGAGGTGCCAACTTTTGTGTTAACATTATGTTACCGGAAATCTTGAGTTTGCCTTTCATAAACGCGGCTTGGGGATTGAGTTTTCCGAGAGCAATGTCCACCATGTCTTCATCGGCAACTGTCAATGTAGTGTCGACTTTAATACCTTGTGCTGGACCTTCGTAAGCTTTAGCGTTTTTGCAATCCAGAGCTGTAAATAATATATCATATATTTTTTGTTATGTCTACTTATGGAAATATGCAAATGTATGTTTTATATGATTTATGCACATTGAACTTTTCAATAGGGGTTTCGAACTTGAATATCTCGACTATTAATTGGTCAAAMATCAAACCAAATAATTGGACCTAGTCACCACTTACTCCATTCCTTAGCCACTTTGCCATCTTTGGTGATTTTGTAGAGAAACACCCCATTTATAGATTTAGCCTTTGCTTCGTTTCCTTTTAAGCCATCAATAATTTTTTCAAATACGGCATCAGATGCAAGTGACATTTTAATAAATAGCAACAATATTTTTGTAAAAATATTATATATTAGTCTTTAACGAACTATAGTCAAAGTCCACACAATGCTGATAGGCGAAAAGGCAAACGTCAAGTAAAGAGAAAAATTGCTTCACATGTGGATTTTATGTCGATTGCGCTGTTCTTCGTCGAAAATGATTCGGAATGTATACAAACATGTTGCCCATCCATCTATGTATCTACTTCAACCTCACTGTCAACATTTTGTATATTGTTAAAGTGCAATTAGGTACCATCGTATAGTACGGTCGTTGTTGGTAGTAAACATATAATATTTCTGTACAAGTACCCAGTAGAACTGAGAGTTTTACCCGAATATGTTGAGCGACTGATAAATACAGTAACGATCATTTAAGTGATAAAATGTAATTTTAATGTATCTGCCAATAATAGCGAATRTGATGAATTATGAAAAATTGTACTTCTAAAATAAAGTAATTCTGTCTCAAAAAAGATGAAATCGAAACGAGATATAAGCTCTACACCTAGTTTTTTTACTCTGAACAGGGTATATTAAGTTTACCCAAAAAGAAACGTCAAACAGCCTGGATATTATAGCGTTGCAACCGAATTTAAYATTTTATCTTGTTATGTCGTTTATATAGTCTTTAATTTATATTTCGCTATGATGTTACCTTTGTATTATTCTATTTTATAATTATTTGAATTTAGTTTAATACAAATTTGCACAAAATCTTCTCTCCATTTAAGCCACTCCGAGCTATGGGCAGTGAACTGAATCAGGTGCTTTATCGCTTGCATCTCCTTACGTCAGAAATGATACATTTCATTCATCAGATGCAGTATTACATACTCTTCGAAGTAATTGAATGTTCTTGGGCTGAACTGCAGGACCGTGTACAAAGTGCAAAAGCATTAGATGACATCCTTGATGCTCACGATGAATTTCTGAATGCCATTAAATGTGGAGCTTTCCTTGACTCTAATTCGGGACAGTTATGCCAGAATATGGAAAACGTGTACGATGGTATAATACGGTTGGAGTTGTGGCAAAACAAATTCTACGAAATCTGCTTTAAGGAGTTATCAGCTCGTAAAGAGTATAAAAATCACATATTTATATCTGAAGAGGCAGGTGAATTCGGAGTAACTGCTGAGCGTCAATTAGAAAGGGATCAAGAGCGTAAGATATTCGAACAAATAATTGGAAGCTATCACAAGTCCCTGGATAACATTTGCGCCGATTATGAAAAGGCAGTACGCTGCTTTTTGTTGGCACTGAACTCGCATAACGATCATAATTTACAGCTATTCGGCATACGTTTGGACTTTAATGAATACTATAAAAAGCGCGATCAACGCCTTTGTGTGCCGTTGACTTTCGAGCACATGCGAATGAGTATTATGTTCAATGGGAATAAGAGTTTGGCGGGAAGTCGATATTCGGCGATGAATTGACATACGCTTCTTTCGGTGGGGTGCAATGCGGTCCAATTAAGAAATGGCTGCTTTCACAATAAAAATATTGAATACAACACCTATTTGAATTGCCCAAAATTTTCATCTAAAGCTCCTTCAGAGGATTTGAAGGAATATCCCAAGAAAAGAATTAATAAACAATCCAACGAAGGCATAATGCTAATTTATCCGCTAAGGGTCCAACAAATATTAGGAAAAAAAGATTATGATAGAGAAGATATGTATTGCAATCACCAGAGTGCCAATGCAATTTTGCCATATTATTTAACTAAACGTACTTCATTAGCAACTTCAATACGTCCCATATTTATAGCCGAGAAGAATCGCTTTTATATGTCCTGTTGTGAAATCTTGTAAAGATAGTATACCACGGAAACATCAGATTAAGGTGTAACTTATTTAACTATTTCTATGAAAAAGTTTTGAAACGTTAAAAAAATGCAATATTTTATCTCTGCTTGTGATGGAATGAATATTATAGAAAAATGTCGATTTTATTAAATTCTGAGTATCATTTTCGCTTAGTTGCCACATTTAAATGAAAAAAAATATTTTAAACCTATGTTCGGTATTTTATAAAAATGAAACCCAAATTAATATGTATTGGTAGAAACTATATAGCACTTACTTTATGAAATTTCGAAGTTGTAAGGCCTAAATATTCGTAAGAGTTATAAGTTGATTTTTCTCGTTTAATGAATTTAATTGTCAAAAGTATTTTGTTATTAGAATAAAATCCACTAAAGAGAGAACGTTTATGAAGACAAACCATTTTCCACAGTGCACTTTTATTATTCATATATTTGACCGTCAAACAGGGGATCAAACTGTTCTCCAAGCACGCTTACAACGCCATGATAAGCTTAGAGTACATACACTTTTTGACTGACCACTGGAGTCAATGAAGGAAACAATGGTTATAAATTGCAGGTTGATAATTAAAACAATAAAAAATAAATAATGTTGATTATTATATACGTTTATTTGTTCATTATGTTCTCACTTTACAAACTTACTATGTATTATACAATATAATCATATTTTATTACAGTTCATATCTTAACTAGGGAACGAGTACTGTTGTACATTTATTCCGTTAGTCTATTAGGATATACGATTGTAGATGCATTGTTAAAGGAATATGCTTTATAGAATTCATAACTCGCTACTCTACAGCATTCATAAGCTTATAATTTTTATAAGTTGATATAAAATATTTTGACCGTTATGTATTTTTAAAGTCTTTAAAGCTAGAAAAGCTGTTTGTATATGAAAGTAGATGTGCTTTTATATAAGTATGCGTGAGGAAAGGACCTCTTTTGTTTCGAAACAATTTCAACAATCTTTAATAGACATGAGTAAGTATAAGTTTAAAGGATTTTCTCATAACTTTTTTCTAAGTCATGGTTTGAACGCTTGAACACATTTTATTCACTTGTCTGAAAGTTTGGGAATGTTGCAATCCACCTTCGTAATTTGGTATATAAAAAGTGATATTACATTTACATTCTCCATTGCAAGTTTTCTTAAGATATTTTTTACATGTATATGTATCAGCTTCAACCCTACGCAAAATATTGACTTTGCTTAATGTTATCCTATACTTTAGTGTAACCATTTTCTATTGCAACTTGATCGAAGATATAGCAAGGGACGGTTATACAATATTATATGTGTGTGTAGAGTCGCAAGTTAAATGATTTCCTTACTTGGAGTTGAAATGCCTATGGCTTCTTCGTAACCCCCTATCGACGATTCGAGAATACTGTGTTTTTTCTCTTTACTGTGGCTACGATGATGTTTAGGCTTTTTCTCTTTCTTTACGCTGACGRTTCCCTTTCTCGTATCTTTTGATTTATGTGATTTCTCCTTCTTGCGTTTTTCCGCAGTGCTGTTGCTGTCGTCCAATGCCGTTTTTGCAAAGCTCTTTATCCTCTCTGGAGAAATATCTAACAAATCAGTATTGCTTGTATTTGCATTACTTCTCGATTTCTTCTTTGATTTGGGTTTTACATGCGATTTGGGGACACTATCTTCGTCTTTATTGCGGTGTTCGAGCTCTTCTACATCGTTCTCTTTGCTTTTGGACTTCTTCTTGGCTCGTTTCTTGGTTTTATCTTTTGAATCAATTTCATTTATTAATGTTTGAGAATTATTGTTTTGATTTTGAGGCGCGGGCTTCACTTCGTGGAATCGTCCTTTGGGCTCCTCCAGGTCAGGGCTGTAAAACAAATAAGATATTACTTATAGACCCCAAACTCTTGGTTTTCTTACTTACATGTCCAATTCAATATTCAGAGCTCGGTGGGGATCATTCGGATCAAACTTGCAATCTTTATCTTCACTGTCCGATAGAGCTACTCCTTCAGGCATATCCATGATCGTGTTTACTAAATGAAGTGGTTTGGAGTCTGAAATTTATTTATTTATATTTTAAAACAAAGCGTTTTTACTTTTAGCGTTTAAAGTCATACCATCCTCCGATTCGGAGCTGCTGTATGCCATTTTGTTTTTTGATCTTTTGCTTTTCTTTGACTTTTTATGTTTTTTCTTCTCCTTGTTCATTGTTTTCTCCTGTATTAGATAGCGATCAGAACGTTTTATAACTTTCAAAAGAGAAAATAAATATAAATGATTAAAATATAGTGAACAATCAGATTTACTATTGAATGAACTCACCACCTATTTGAAGTGGTACATCTAAGGACAGCTCCGAAATCGGTATTTCATCAATATTGTCATATTGATCAACATTATAACTGGAGTTATTTGCACTTAGGCCTTTCTGTTTATTCATATCTGTTGCTGAAGGCGAAGATTTAATATAGTGCGGGTTGTGAGATTGCTCTATTAGACGAGCCATGCGATTTCGTTCGATTTGCTCGGGAGTCAGCTCTTCACTCTTGCGTCGCTTGCCCAATGCCGCACTGTCATTATGAGCAGCTGACACAAACAGCTCATCTTTATCCTCTTGGGACGAATTGCTACTTTCATCTTCAGGCGGCCCATTTATCCACTCATCTAGATCGAGACCGTCAGGAAGTGGAACTTTGCGTTGTGCTTTTGGAGCCACTGGTATAAGTTCGCCATCAAATAATAAAGCCATCTCTTGAACAATTTCAATTGCCAGAGTCGGTATAATATCAGGTATTGTGGATGCGTCAAGCTCAGACAAATTTTCAACGCCGTCGGCAGAKAATGCGACTATTGTGGTCCTTTTGTGATGTCTGCTGTCCTTACTGAATTGGGAACGGAGCATTTCCATTAGAATACACGAGGCATTTGCACGCTCCTGCACTTCAATATCATTCGAACTACTAAAGATTTGAAGCTTCTCCAGGGCATGATCACAAAGCTGAAATAAATTAAGTTTTATCTGTAATAATGTCTTTATAAAACCTAAATACATCCTGATACTCACTCGAATCAAGCCGCTAACATCCTTATTTTCCAGACAAGTAGTTGCTAATTTTGTAAATAATTTAGTAACATTTTGTACAAACACACCTTGTATATGGCCGGGTACTTGGCGTGGGCGTAATAAAATATTTAGAGTCTTTTCGGCATCTTCCAAATCACTGTATTGAAAACATATGTATAATCAAGTGTAATAATTACGACAAAAGATCGTATGATGGGTGAATTTTTTAATCAATCTTACTTACTTTGAGAACTCTCCTACGATCCAAGCTGCGGCGTATAGCACTTCATACATTGAATTGCTCTGCGATGATATGGAGAATGTGTCCAACAAGTTGGTCATTTCATTCACTGCAAATTGACGTACAACTGGTACCCTTATAGCAACGTCTAGGAGTTGCTCGGCAATTAAACGCCCTTAACATAAAATAAATAAATTAGCGAGATGAGTTATAATAAGTTGCATAATTATGGATAGATACCGTGTTTAGAACCAGCTTCCAGTTGAATCAATTCAACTAGCACAGTTAAGTACCATTCGAAATTCGTAACGTACAAATAAGAACTCTGTGAGCAAATCTCAATTACTTTGAACAGCAATTCATCGCGATACAGCGATCCCTCGGCACGCTCCATGTGACCTAGTAAACGTTTGACAATTTCCATTAGATTCTTTTTTGACACCATTCCGTAAAGTAAATCGAGAGCACGAAGTCGTATCGATTCGTCCTTATCATCTAGGCATGCCAAAATTAAATCCTTATGCTCTTGGACGCTTTTCGGGTGGGTTTTCAAAATTTTAGACATAGCCAACAATCCCAGGTATTTCACTGCATAAAATTACGAAGAAATATCAAGTAAGAATTTCAACATCGGTTAAGGTACCGTAACATTCCTTAATAATTCCATTTACATATACATACATATTAATACTCACAATTCTGATCGGAATCCTCTATGAGAATGCGCAGTTTCTGCACGCAAAGCTGTATTGAGGCACTATGATTTGGCATTCCACTGCTAATACTGATGAGCACTGCAATCACTGTGTTTATGCACTCGTAAAGCAAGCTCATGGCGGACGTACTATTTGGCACGAATCAAGAACACACAGAAATAACTTATTGTCACATACAACTTTCTTTCATTTTAATGAACTAGTGCACATTTGATAAAATGCAATAACAAAAACAAAATCACTGATCACGAATATGTGTTTGTTGTAAAAGTAATAATAAAAGTTTTGCTGTAATAAGTGCATTCTTTAAGTTTTGAAGAAACCAAAGTACAAAATATGAAAGCAAATTGAACACATGAAGTTTGTATTGAGTTTGCCGAATTTTGAAAAAAAATTATGTTTTTATACATGTCGCATGTATAAATACATATGTATGTCCATATAGTTCATTTGGATGTGTATAAATTTGAAATCTTTATGACAACAATAACACGACAATGAAACTTGCCTATGAATAAGATTTGTGAGAGGTTCTATTAATTTCTTTCCTAGCCGGGGTTCTAAAGGAGTTAAAGCGCCAAACTGCAAATGCAAGAGAAAAAGAAACAAGCAAAGAAATTATAAATACATAATCACATACACAAAACTTACAAAACTAATCAATATTTGTATTGGCTTAATTCTTTAAATATTTAGAAATTATTTCGGAGTAATAGACAGCTTGTAGGAAGTTAGTTTTCCCCGAAAAATAAATCAAAACAAATCTTAACAGAAAGTAATGTACAAATGCATATGCCACACAGATTAAAAACTTTTTATTATAAGTCCTTTATTCACACATGAATATGTGTTTATTGCTAGAATTTTATAAAAAAAAAACATTTACCAACAGCAATGTCAATTGCTTGCAGTATGTTACAAGTACAATAAAAGAACAGCAATGTGAGCAGATTAGCTTAGGAGGTTTCACATTATGGAATATGGTATTCGAAATTCCTGCCAACTGACAATACAAACTTAGCAATATAATAACATAATAAAATAAGTAGCAATAACTTTTCGAGCCGAATAGTGCATTTCTTTTATTTGAAAAAAAAAGTGTAAATAAAATAGGAAAACTTTTTTGAACTATGTATATGAGGGAAAAATAATGGGTAAATCAAATATGGCACAAAGCAGTACGTGCATAAAATGGATTTAGCGCCAAACGATTTGAAAAAATCAGTAGGTGAGTGTCACTTGAGAAGCGAAATTATAAAACTAAAGAAGTTAAATAATAAAAAATGTTTTCAGATAGTGATTTAATAAAAACCTGGAAATAATTTCAATCAGGGGTTGCGTTAATTTGCGTCCTAACGCTGGCTCGATTGTCGTAAGGCTGGCAAACTTCATGATTATTTTAGATTAAAGCCGCAGAAATAAGAATAGTCATTCGGTAGTATCAAATGAGACAAGAGAGAGAAAAGAAAAATTAAAAAGAGATTGAAGGGAAACTTTCGCTAAATCTCATGGGGCACTTATAAAGTAGTTTAGAAAAATTCACTCAAATTTGAAGTTGCGTTTTTAAGTAATGAAAAGTTCCAAATGAACTAAAATTAAATTACATAAAATATCATCATATTAATATAACATTAAACATATATGTACATTATTTATATAAATACGAAATTGTTTAAATTAGGCTGAGGGAAAATACTCACCAATTTAATTATTTTAATTAACATCCAGTTGTTGGTGGAAGTCGTCATAAGTTTAAAAAAAACTGGTGCTAAAGGCAGATAGTTCTTGGGATTTTTACGGGCCAACTCGCAGATCACATTAACAGCAGCTGATTGTACACCTTATAAATCATTTATATATATATATATGTATAC